GGAGGGGGAGGTTGCAGTGAGCCAAGATCGCACCACTGCGCTCCAGCCTGGCACCTGGAGACAGAGCGAGACTGTCTCAAAAAAAGAAAAAGTCATTATGTTGCCAGGAGCAGTGGCTAACATCTGTAATCCCAGCACTTTGGGAGGCTGAGGCGGGCGGATCATCTGAGGTCAGGAGTTTGAGACCAGCCTGACCAACACGGAGAAAGCCTGTCTCTACTAAAAATACAAAGTTAGCAGGGCGTGGTATCTCATACCTGTAATCCCAGTTAATCAGGAGGCTGAGGCGGGAGAATCCCTTGAACCTGGGAGGCAGAGTTTGTGGTGAGCCGAGATCGTGCCATTGCACTCCTGCCTGGGCAGTAAGAGTGAAACTCCGTCTCAAAAAATAAATAAATAAATAAATCATTATGTTTTGGTGAGAGAGGACAGACAATAAACTAGTATAAATAAATTAAGGTAGTTTCTGGGAAGGAAGAAAGGAAGGGAGGGAGGGAGAGAGGGAGGGAGGGAAAAAGAAACAAAGGAAGTAAAGAAAAGAAAGAAATAGAAGAAAAGTAAGAAAAGAAAGAGAAAGAGATCAGACGTGGTGGCTCATGCCTGAAATCCCAACACTTTGGGAGGCCCAGGCAAGCAGATCACCTGAGGTCAAGCGTTCAAGACCAGTCTGGCCAACATGGCAAAACTCCATCTCTAATAAAAATATAAAAATTAGCCGGGTACAATGGTGGGCACCTGTAATCCAGCTAAACTGGATACTATCATCCAGGAAAAAGAGTGTTGGCCAGAGTTTGAGGCGACTCTGTAGATAGAATTTCCTGAGTATTCAGGCCACAGAGCTGAATATGGTCATTTGAGAGCTACCAAGTTTACATAATAGTTCTAGCCATCCCCAGAAGCTAATTTAAACCTCTCAGCTTTATTTTCAACCTTCTATGAGAGAGAATCTGATTGGTCCAGCTTGGTCCAGTGAGCAACAACTTCAGGGACTGGGTTATAGAGTATAAACTGATTCCTGGGGAGTCAGTTGCTGTAAATTGAGTGGAGAGAGGGATAGAGGCCTATTTCACAGAGAAAAGGGAGGGTCATTTCTTCCAGGCTGAGCAGACACTTAAAAAATGATCCAAAAATATATCAATCAATTCCATAATCATAAAACCTGATTTTCATTTTAAATAAAGTCATTACTGCTGAATACTTGTTCTTACTGTCTAGTATAGAGTTGTCTACCCTACCACAAGGATGACTCTGACATGTCATATACCATCATGAAAGTGCTGAGAAATTCCTGCTACAAGTTATGTACAGTTTTCAGAAAGTTGCATGTAATTGACTGAATTTTTCCTTTATTTCAGTGTCCTCTGGGATCTCTTACAGTTTGGGAACAGAGATCATGTCACATTTGGTGGACCCTACATCAGGAGACTTGCCAGTTAGAGACATAGATGCAATACCTCTGGTGCTACCCACCTCAAAAGGTAACCCCCCATGCCTGAGGATGGACACCTTTTAGAATTAAAAGAACTCTCAATCATTGTGGGACACCTTGCTAGTCTTCACAGAGACTGACTTAACTTTCAGCTCTTTTCTTCAATCTTCTATTTTTTTTTTTTTTTTTTTTTTGGGGACGGAGTTTCGCTCTTGTTACCCAGGCTGGAGTGCAATGGCACGATCTC